GCGAAGGGGCGCCCCCACTCACATGTGGAGTAAAGTGTATCGGCCTTTATGGCTGTCTCAACTCCGTAAACTTAGATGAATGGGTCTGCAACATGGTATCCAGAAGCTACATATTGATGTGTCACTATTTCCCCCTCCATGCTTTATGCGCTCAAGGGTATCTTTGGAGCCACAAGAAACAGCAATTTTTGTTTCAGCTCTGATAGGGCTGCTCCCTCAAATGGTCATCACACACTTGCCAGAGAGAGAGAGAGGGGTCTCATGGCTTCCATTCTAAACTGTTTATGGTTTCCAACTCAGACATCTGGCCTATTCTGGATATCAAGGAACTCAGCAAGTTCTGAAGGTTCTAAAATGAAGGATAAAATCTACCCGGTCAGCTTTGCTTCATTAGTCTATCTTTGGAGTCTTCCCTTCGGGGTACATTCGAACAATACCATAGCTGTGCTTACATCAACCATCAAGGAGAGACAGTCGCGCTACTCAGGAACAAGTGGGACCTGATCTTGTTTTGGGCGGAACTTTACATTCTGGTTTCCTTCATTGTGCACATTCTGGTTGTGGAAAATTGGCAGGCAGACTTTCTCATCAGCAGCTGAATCTGGAAGCATGGGCCACTTTACCTAGAGTTGTTCACAGAAAATTGTTAGCAGTGGGAGATGTGGATCTCTTGGCAGCTAGATTCAACAGCAAACGGAACAGGTTTGTGTCCCGATCCACGGATCCTCAAGAGTTTGTGTTAGATGCCGCGGTGACTCCTTGGATCTGTTTTGCCTAATCTATGCCTTACTTCCACTTCAGCTGTTTCCCTGCCTGTTGCGTAGGATAAAGGTGGAGGGTATTCCAGTGATTTTTATCGTAGCTGCTTGGCCAAGAATGTTGTATGTATGTAAGTTTCTTGGCAGCTGAGCTGTTGGCTCTTCTAGATCAGACAGATTTGCTGTCACAGGGTCCAGTCTTCCATCCTGCTTTATGATCACTGGCTTTAATGACATGGCTTTTGAGGCCCAGGTCCTCAGGGATAGGGGGATTTCTGACTACGTAATCCCTACCCTTCTCAAGACAAGAAAGGCAACCTGTGAGAAGGTATACCAGCGTACATGGAAATCCTTTTTTGCCTGGTGTGAGTTTCATTCCCAACAGTATGCTGTGGAGTGCATTTTGACCTTTCTCCAGTCTGGTATGGGATTGTCTCTGGCTATTAAGTTCAACTGTGAGAAGAAAATAAATTAATGCATTTATTTTTGCAGGAAGAATGTGCATTTATTATTTTTTTTCCATAGTAGCCTGCAAAGCATTGCACCCACGATCGGTAAATGAATGCTGTGCTGAGGCAATTTTAAAAGTTAGGATAGGAGGAAGTTTGGGCAGCAGGCAAGGGGATGTAAAATGTTGCTATAGGTAGAGATAGCCTTTACGTACTGTTAAGGTACAAATCTTTTCCTTGCCTGTTCTGTTTTGGAGACCTGTCACGTTTCTTTCCTTGGTAAATGCCTTTGGGCAGGGTGTCCCCCTTGTCTCCTTGGGACTTTCACTTGGTCTTCTTTGTTTTGTGGACTTCTCCTTTTGAACAGTTCCAAGAGATTCCCTGTTTGTTCTTTACGTGCAAGGTTTTCTTCTTCGGTGCCCAAACCTTGGCTCTCCGGGTCTCAGATCAATTGTATCAGCAACAGGATGTTGCACACCGAGATGCAAAATAATCTTCCTTTTTTAAGCAGCAACAAGTTCTATTCTGACATGTTTTGCACTCGCACTTTTAATAAAGGAAGATTATTTTGCATCTCACTGTGCAGTATTCCTGTTGCTGGTACAGTTGATTGCTTTGGTTGGAGATGAGTTGAGCCAGCACCTGAGATGTGGTTGTGAAGAGTAGAGCCTGGCTTTACCTGGAGTGGCATGTGAAATATTTGTCACAGGTTCTGAGTTGTTTCAACTATCCCTTTTGGGATACTACCCCTTTTGGTTCTTGAGACCTTGGTCCTCTTTAATACCTAAGGTGAATTTTTCGTTCCACCTGAATCAGAACATTGTGTTGCTATTTTTTTTTTTTCCTAATCCAAATCATTTTAGGAATAGGTGCTTCACTGTTTTTGAGCTGTTAAATGTACCTGAGGTCTCCAGCTTTGTTTCAACAGTTTGAGTCCCCTTTATGTTCTGCCTGAGGTTCTTTGCAAGGGTCAGGCTGCTTCTCGATTTACTAAGATCTATCAGGTAGATGTTCACACTTCTGTGGATATCAGTTTTGAGCAGAAGGTCTTGTAGGCAGCTTTGTAGTGGGGTTCCCTCTGGTCTGTTTTTGAGTTTTAGGCATGTGTCCTGTGATGTACGATTTAATACATTTCATTTGTTAGTCTACAATAAGCAGCTAAAAGTCTATTTCTGTTTGAAAAGGAATTCCACAAGCTGCTACTTGTTTACATCATGTCTGTAGTTATAAGGTAAGATTCTCTAAATCTGCAAACCTGATTACTCTGTAAGAATAAAGATGACAGGTCAGCTAATCTAAGCCTGCTGAGACAGTTGCTTTAATATTTAGAAAACAGCCTACCCACGTCAGGCTCAGTAAGTCCTGGAGCCCAAACCGAGAGCATATCTAAAAGCTCAAACAAAAATTAACTGTCAGCTGCGACAGCCTGGCTTACTGGTCCATTATGTTCCCAGCCCTAAACTAATAATAGACTGGCAAGAAAAGGATTTTATAGGTTAATCAAAAATCCTAATTTTTAGCTGCTGCATTGTTTTGGACTGGTATATTCCTCAGGATCCCCCCAGAGCTTATCACTCTCAGAAGACAGCGTGATAAATGGAGTCTTGGTTTTTAGAAGTGGCCTTCTTGATGAGGGTAGACACTGGCACATGCTGGGCAGATGATTAAACTGACACTAAATGATTTCCTTATTCTTCAAAAATAACCATCCACTACTTAATGACCCTGTAATCTTTTTTTCATGAAATTATTTTTTAGTGTGTTTTTCTGCCTCCTTGTAACACCCTCTGTGAGTTTCAAAACTCTCCTTTTCTCCCCTCACTTCTGTTTGGAACGAGCAGTGCATGTTATTTGAACTCGTGCACTTCTCTATACACACTACAAATATGTAAAATGAATTTGATGATTTAGAGAAGACTGAATGCAACAGAAGGTGCTTCTGAGTAAATAATTTATACTTGAATTTTAATAATTTTTTTTTCTTTTTTTAAACCAGAGTTTAATGTCACTTTATTCTAGGACACTGAGTGGAGAGTCCAACCAACGGACCCTTCCTAATACTCTGTACTGTACTTCTCCCCATAGAACAGTGACAGGTCCCCACATTCTGTACTCCTCTCCATATAACGTTTACGGATCTGGTTTGCTCAAATGATCTTATCTGACAGAAACCCTACACAGCCCAGGACTTGTCCGGTTGTAGCAAATTAAACTTCAAGTTAGGGTTGAGCTATGTATGGTTTCTATTTTTGTTCAAGGCTGTATGTGTCAATCAGATTTTTTTTTTATGGTGTGTGATTAAATAGGAAAAGCCTGACAGGCTGCTGGAGAGGCCCAGGGCTCTTTTTACATGCTAAAAAGGGATCAATGCAAATTGTGTAATAAGTCATGTGAATTAGGGGAATCCTTTAGGCCATATCTGTCATTTACTTCCTGTTTCCTGGCCAGGCTAGGAAGTGGGTGGAGATAACTGAGAGCTGTACCATAAATGTGCTAATAAATGGGCATGTCCATATCTGACACAGCGATTTGCATTCCCAAATTATTTCAGTTTTCAGAGATTTTGGTACAGGATCCTGAGAAGCAGAAGTTTTTAATACACACAAACACTTTGTTTTTTAGTAGTAGCTCTTGCCACATTTGCCTTATCCCCACCACATGCGAAAAAAAAGAGATTTAAAGACGATTTTTTGCAAATTAAAAAGGAGCTTATGCTTACCTGACTGGTCCCTCATCTGCACTTTCTGCTCCTTCTTGTGGGTGCCCCCATAAGCTCTGCACTGTGGGGGCACCTTTGTGGGCGTGCTCCTGAGCCAAGCTGTGTGCATCCATAGATACACAACATGCCACTCGGCTACGCCCTCTGCTTCCTCCTCACAGTATTTGACTGACCTATGGCTTCTGCTGCTGCCATCTTTGTCTCCTGTGAGGCCAGGAAGTGGAAGAACGGTGCTGCAGATAGGACCCCACTGGATGAGTGAGTGAGTGGAGTCAGGTAAGTGTATATGAATGGGGGAGGGGTGGTTAGTGGAACGTTTTATACATTAATGTGGGGAATGCATTAAGGTACAAAACAGCTAGACTTTAGAACCACATTAATGTAGAATACCTGCAGATATGATACTTACTGACTCTTATCCTGATTGTAAATATGAAGTTTTGAAGCAATTTATACTAATATGGTGATAAATTAGGACAGAAATGTTTTATGATGGTGCTTGTTTACAGCATGCCCAATATTTGATACCAAAGTGCCTGCACTTATAACTCTGGTATGTGGAACAATCCACCAAAATATTCTTCCATTATTCTGTACCAATAAAATGAGCCCTTCTTAGGGAAGGTATGTTCCACATTTTTTCCTGCATTTTTTTTTATATAACAGTGATATATTGGCTGTCCGTCATGACACAGTAAATAGGAGTGGCCCTTGCTGTCCCATTGAGATGATTTCACGCTTGTCCAGTAGTGTAGCCTAAGCCGAAGGAGTTCAGATGTGCTGTGAACCCTCATGTCAGACTGTCCGGACTGGACTCCTTTCTTGGTGGGATATCTCGGACTCCTCTTCTCTTGCTACCTCCTGGGATGTCTCAGCCCATATTTTCCAGTTGTTGGGTATAGAATTAAATAGAGATGAGTTCCTTTATCTGAATCAGTACTTGGTGGACAATGTAATTACCAGTCATGATTATAAGAAGAGCTCAGCTTTTCACAAAGACATATCGTGTGTGATCTACAATGATCTCCTATAACATTGTTTGTTTATTTTACGGCTTCTCCCCTCACTCTCCAGCCAGAGGAGCTGACACTCTTGCTCATCAAACTACGAAGGCAACAGGCAGAGCTGAGCAGTATCCGGGAACACACACTGACACAGTTGCTGCACCTAAAGCAGGCGTGTAGCCCTCAGGTCAGCTGCATGTATCACTCACCCATCATACATGTACTGTGACACGTGTTCTCCCCTTTCTGTGATTGCTGATGTAATCACCCCTTTATCATCCTGCATGTCCCAGTGGTTGAGTTCTGGGGTCATCTGTGTTGGTGATGGACGTGTTCTTTGTGCTTTGTGTCTGGTGTTGTCCTCTGTGTTTGAGATTGTGTGGTGACACTTTTAGGGCTGATTCATTAAAGCTCAACTCCAGGCATACGTAAAAGGTGCACATTAATCCTGCTTTGTAATCATTGATGCAATATTTAAACATGGTATCAGCATCTTGCAGTCTCTGTATAGCAGAGCTTAGACCTGGAGAGTGAGAAGCAACACAAACCGCCAAACAGGTTTACTGTTTAGCTCATGGGCTAGAAAGGGACATGCTAATATGGTGGTGAGCAGAGAGATGAGCTTATCAGTTTGCTCCTTCTACTTTCACTGGCCAATCAAAGGGTGGGGAAACCGAGATAAATCAGTTTTTCTGCCCTGCCAGACACGGCTATGCTGTGTGGCAGAGCTGTGTAAATCTCAGTACTAGATGGACAGAAATCTTTTTGGCTGTTAAAACATCTTTCATATATTAATTTTCTCTTTGTATTTAGCTTTTTGCCTGGAGCTCTGCTTTTAAATTAGAGAAAAGAAAATGAACACAAATGTGGAGTTGTTGTAAGTAGCAACCAAAACAGAATTTGTCCCTATGGGTAACAACTCCAATTCTCTGCTCATTTTCTTCTTTCTAGTGTTAGTGAATTAGCTTATATGTTTCAGGGATGAGGCTGTACTGTATTCTATTGGTCTAGAGTGTATGTGTATCAGTGATAAAACTGTGCTGCATTCTTACTCAAGAGTGTATATGCATAAAGGTTGAGGCTGTACATGGTTTGTTAGGCTCCTGAGTGTGCTTGTATCAGAGATGAGGCTGTGCTGTGTTCAAGTTGGCCAGAGTGTGTATGTACTGTGTTCTGGTTGTGGAGTGTGTATGTGCCAGAGGGGATGAAACTGTGTTGTGTTCTGGCCCTCAAATGTATATATCTCAGTCATTCAGGACACAGGACTTGTATTCATAGGCGCTGGGTTTTTCCCTGGCTACCTTCATGTAATTATTGCCCAGAGCTATCTAGCAGTTTCTGGAATGGTAAGCCAGATTTTACATGATTCATTTTCTATCATTCAACCAACTGAGCTAGTGTGGAGCAAGTGCATTCTGACAGCGGGGACAGTTCCCCATTTTCAGAATACACTCATCAGTACCGCCAGCACTGATTTAGCAAAATGATTCAGCAGGCTGGTTGTACAGAAGTTGTTCAAGAGATCAACTTCTGTACAACTAGCCTGCCCATAGATCAATCATAATTTCAGCTGGTCCCTGCTTAACTAGCCGAATTTCAATCCATTGTTTGGCTGGCTTAACCATCAGTGTCTACCTTGGGGACTGTATACAAACCCCACAGTTTGAGAAGCGGCCTTTAATGTTTGCTTCGGACACTGGATCCTGGGAAAGGCACTCATCTTGGCACATTGCAAGGAGTGTGCTTAGCAGCCAGGTGCTACACAGGTCCAGGGCCGTGGTCCATCTCTATGTTCCCAAACCCTTAGAAGATATGCCCACCATGATTAGCAAAGCTTGGATCCTAATGGCACCAGCAACATGAGTGAGTTAAGACAGAGTTTATCTGTGCTTTAGATTGGTTCCGGCCTATGGACAACCCTCAGCACTTAGCAGTCAAGTGGCTACATAGGTGCGGGAAGGAGAGTTAATTTTAATGTGTTAAACCCCTTTGTACTTGTCTTTGATGCTTTTGGAAACAGAATTTTTTTTATTATTCAGAACACATGCATTGGGGGGGAATTGGAGCCTGACCATGGCACCGAGAGGGAGCTCAATGTGAGCGCTCCCGGACAGTAGGCGCTCCCTGTGTCCCGTTAGCCAGAAATGCCTAGGAGGTAACGTACCCGGGTGGGGTGTCGTTCCTTTGTGGAGGCCTGGCAGGAGAACGGTGCCACCTGTGCGGCTGGCCGGAGGTGGCAGCAGCGAGTGGTGGTGTCAAAGTGGAAGAATGAGTGAGGGGCCAGTCGGTTGGAGAGGAAGAGGATGCCGGGCGGTCACGTGACCACCGCAGAGGAGTACTGGGGGGCAGAGAATCTGGCCGGGCTGACACGGAGGACATCCAGGCTCATCTACCACAGGATTGTTACTGCCAAAAGACATGAGGAACCCCATGGAGGGTGATCCCCCTCCAATAGTCACCATTGCAGAAGTGGACTGTGATCGGGAGACTGTGTTAGTAGTCCCTGGGAGAGACTGTCTGCATCCGCCTTAGTTGAAGTAAGATGGAGCTGAAAAGATGACCGAAGACGACAGGAGATGGTGAGTCAAAAACACATGGTGTAGAGATTATTTCGGGGGGGATCACCCAGGGGGCCCAGAAGGAGAAGGAGCTGAAAGAGAGACACAAGAGGGATAAAGACCCCGGAGACCCCTTGAGAGGAAATTGGTACAGGGGGGGAAAATGGAAAGGAAAAGATCAAAGAGGGACTACCCTGGAGGGATACAACCCTAATTTACACGTAGAGGTAATACCTGGTCCCCAGAAAAAATACAAAACTCACTAACAGTATGAAAAGTAAAGTGGCAAAGGGGGAGGGCCAAAGTCATCCCAAGCAACTTCAATTAAACAATATATCCCCTTACAAGAGAAACAAACCCCAGAGAGACAACAGGGAGTAAGTGGAAGACAGGAGATGGAAAACACTAGTGGTGATTGCTCCAGATTGTCTATGGGCGTTGCAAATATCAGTAAAAATATAGAAGTTGAAGACATAGAAAATGTATTGGTTACTGAGAGTCCTGAAGACCTCACAGATGCCCACGAAAGCTGAAATAGCGGAAATGTTTAAAGGTCTGGAAAGATCCATAAAACAGGAGATTGTGAAAATACATAAGGACCTGGGCCAAGTATTATCAAGGGTGGAGGTGACTGAGGAAAAATTAGATAAACCTGCTCAAGTAATAAAATTAGAAAAACAGATGGAAGGAATAAGAAAAGAACAAAGGAATCTGCTATACAAACTGGAAGATCAGGAGAATAGAGATAGAAGATGTAACCTGAGGATACGAGGTCTGCCTGAGACTTCACAAGGGGAAGACTTGATGGAAATAACAATGAAAATGTTTAATACAATAATGAACAGATCACCAACAGAGCCTCTGAAGATTGACAGAGTGCACAGAATAGTAAGACTCCAAGGAAGCAGAAACAAAAATTCATCCATTCATTCCATTATTATAGAGACAAAACTGAGCTTTGGAAGAAGACAAAGGGAAGACCTGTAATTAAATATGGAGAAGCAAATTTACAGGTTTTTTCCAGATATATCAGTGGAAACATTGATGAGAAGGAGAACCTTCAAACCATTGCTGGAACAGATGAGAAAGCAGAATGTTCAATACAGCTGGGGATTCCCAGCATGCCTGATTGGATGGAAAAATGGTCGTTCTGCAAGACTGAGATTTCCGGAAGACTTGAGAGACTTTTGTGAGAGACTTGAACTACAGAAAATAGATATCCCAGGATGGGAAGAAGGGGGCAAGAGAGACTTGGGGAATAGAAAATGAGAGTTGGCAGTCAGCTCCTAGTGGGAAAAGGCATCAAAGATAAAACAGGGAAGGAAGAGGAGGAATGGAAGGGATTTTTTTTTCCTCTTCCCCTCTCTCCTCCTCTTCTTCTCCTCCTAGGCTAAGCAAAGTAAAAAATACATTTTTTTTTTTTTTGGAAAGAGTGGAAACAGGAAGTAGGACAGGTATCCAGAAACGCGGCCTAGAATTTGGTAACGCGGACTGGAGCGCGGCGTATGTGGTCAGAGCTCCACCCTATCATTGAATCGATGGTGGGACTAGGACCACAAATGATTTGTAGGCAAGTTAAGAGCCTAGGGGGAGTTAGGGAGGGTTATGGGGTAGGTGTGAGAGGGGAATGGGTAACTATGTAGGGGTTAGCTCCATGTTCCTCTGGAAGGATGAGGGTACTCTCACTGGAAAGAACTCTGGTGGCAGAGGAATAACACTTATGGGAAATGGATGAGGTTAACTTTATGATCTATAATGTCAAGGGACTGAACATTCCGGGGAAAAGGCATAAGATCCTCAGAGAATTACAACAACGATCTACTGCAATAGTGTTTTTACAGGAAGCTCACTTATTAAAGAAACAAATGTGAAGTTATATTCTAGGTATTACCCAACCTGGTTTTATGCAGATTCACCAACTAGGCATGCTAAAGGAGTGGCAATTGGCATAGCTAAAAACTTAAGGTTCAAGTTGGAGGATCCTGAGGGGCGTTTTCTGTTCTTAAGGGGGAAATTACAGGAAATAGTGTACATTGGCAAATATTTTTTGCCCCAATAGAAATCCAATGGCCTGTCTGAAAAGTGTATTGAGAAGACTTCTAGATTTTAAAACAGGCAAACTAATTGTGGCAGGAAATTAACATTTTTGCGTGGACCCCCAGATTGACACAACGTCGCATGTGCAGAGAGAGAGAGAGGTAAAACTCTGAAATCCATATGAAGAACGCTATATCTAAGTCAACTTGTGGATATCTGGAGAGTTAAACATCCTAGAGACAGGGACTATACGTTCTATTCTCCGGCATATGCAACGTATTCGAGATTAGATTATATATCGATGGACCATATACTTTTGGAGTTGCTGGTCAAAGTAAATATAGAAGTTATAACAATATCGGACCATGCACCTGATACAATGAAGTTATTATGGGGAAGAGAGCAGAATAAGTTAAACGTGGAGATTAAATTGGACACTCCTTCAGGATCAAGAGACGAAACAAAGAATAAAAAAAGAAATGGAACAATACTTTGAAAGAAATGAGACTGAAGGAGTTTCAACTGCCACGGTGTGGGAAGCATATAAGGCATACATCAGGGGAATTTTGATAGCGATTGGGGTACAAAAAAA